ATCGCGGCCGCAGCGCGCCCCGCCCGCAGCCTCGCAGCCCCGCGGCCCCCGAGGCATGGCCTGGAACACCAACCTGCGCTGGCGCCTGCCGCTGGCCTGCCTGCTCCTGCAGGTGGCCATGGTGGTCCTCTTCGGCGTGTTCGTGCGCTACCAGCCCGACGCCGACCCCCACTGGGCCGAGGATCTGAAACGCAGGAACCTCTCCAGCGACCTGGACAATGAGTTCTACTATCGCTACCCCAGTAAGTCCCGCCGCCAGCCCCGCAGGCCCACCCGCGGCCCATCCCGGCCGGTCCCCTCGCCTTGGCCCAGGGCTCAGGGAGAGCCAGGGAGGTGGAGATGCCACCCACAGCCTCTGCCCTGCCCCGCTCAGGCACTCGCCAGTGTCTGGGGAATCACGCTGCAGAAATGGCCAGATGCCCGCAAACTCCCTTTCCCCGCCCCAGAGGAAAAAGCCTCCAGGGGAAACCTCCCATGGGTGAGCCCATCAGGTGCCATCAGAGACCCCCAGCCCCCCTGTCCCGGAGCCCTTCCTGCGTGATGTCCTCCAAAGACCCATCTTTAGTCACCAGCCCGCCGGTGACCCTGGCTCCCTTGTCCAGCTATGCCATGCTATCCTTGTCAAGGGCCGCAGGGATGGCCCGCTGGCCTGCCAGTCCTCCCGCAGGGGCAGAGGTGTGTGTGGGACCTTGGCGCCACCCTCTCAGGCTGGGGGAGGGAGCAGGAGCACCCCCAGATTCTCAGGTGTCCAAATGCTGCGGTAAAGAGCATGTCGTGGCTCTGCCATCCTCCGGGTGGGTGGCTTTAGGCAAATGTCACCCGTGTGGAAACTCTGTCCTCGCCTGCGGGATGAGAATAACCAATTGGACCTCCCTCCCTTCCCCGGGGACGGGTGAGGCTGGGGGGAGACGGTGCTGGGCATGGAACGCTCACTGGAAAACCAATCCAAGGGCACAAAACTGAACCCTGTCGCCCTAGGACTCAGGAGTTGGGCAAACTGAGCCCCCTGGTCAAGCTTTCCCACCAGCAGAGGGCAGTGTAACCTGGACTTTGGAATTAAACAGACCTGGGTCCATCACTAACTGGAGTGAGCCAGCTCCTTAACCAGTCTGAGCCTCAGTATGCTCATCTGTGAAGCGGGGATGTTATTTGAAGCGCAGGCTCTCTAGGAAGATGCGAGGTGGCGGGTGCCTGGCAGGGCACATCTCATGGCACGAAGTGAGGGGACAGTAAACGCCGGTATTGAGTTTTCCTCGTAAGGGAGTGAGTGCTCCGTCGTCGCTGAAGGTACTTAAGCGGAGGCTCAGCATCTCTTTAGAGATGTAGTGACCAAGGCATATCTCCCTGGATATTAGTTTCAACTCTTCTAGCATTTCACTTCCTTTGGGCCAGCTCCACTTACAAGGGCTTTTTGCATTGTAAATGCTGCCGGGCATGCCATTTATTTGTTTCTAGGTTGTGGTGCATGGGAGGGAAGTAAGAGATTTGCCCAAGGTTCCCAGCTGGTCAGTGCCACCTGCAGGGATGGAGCCATGCTCTCCCCTCCCCCACAGCCTACCTGCTTTTGCCAGGCCTCTGTGGCATTGCTAGCCCCTGACCATGTCCCCAAGAGATTTTGCAGGGATGGCTTGGTTCTGGGGACAGCTCCAAGCTGTGGGAGAGATGGGCACAGAGCCTTGGCTAGCAGTCCTCCAAGGAAAGAGTTTAGGCTGGGCTGTTCCCATGCAGCAGCAGGGAAGGACCCTCCCCGGCCCACCCGCGTGGGAAACTTTGTCTTCAGACTCTGGAGATTTCTGAGGATTATCCTGGGAGGAAAGTGAGCTAGGAATGGGCGGGGATGGTGGGAGTGACAAGAGCTGTGCTCTGGTGCCCCCTTTGGCAGCTCTCAGGATGGCAGCCAGCGTGCCACCCGGCCCCATCAGGGCCCGCAGGTTGACAGAGTGGGTTCTGGGCTGGGCCGCTCCAGTCACCCCAGGCTGGGGAAAGAGAGGGAAGGGAGGGCGTGTCTTACCAACTTCCGCTGACCTTCAGCAAACAAATCTGGTCAGTCCTGAAAGAGAAAAAGAAAAACAGTAGCTAATAGGAACGAGCAGTTGCTGAAGAGCCAGGCCCATGCCTGGTGAGCAAGGTCAGTGCTCCCTGAGCTCGGTCACTACTCCCCATTTCACGGGCAAAGACACAGCACATCAGAGAGGTTGTGTCCTTGAAGGTCGTACAGTCTGGACCTTCACACCATTACTATTAAAAGCATTTGAGGCCCAGCTGGCATGGCTCAGTGGTTAAGCGTCAACCTATGATCCAGGAGGTCACGGTTCGATTCCCTATGATCCAGGAGGTCACGGTTCGATTCCCTATGATCCAGGAGGTCACGGTTCGATTCCCTATGATCCAGGAGGTCACGGTTCGATTCCCTATGATCCAGGAGGTCACGGTTCGATTCCCTATGATCCAGGAGGTCACGGTTCGATTCCCTATGATCCAGGAGGTCACGGTTCGATTCCCTATGATCCAGGAGGTCACGGTTCGATTCCCTATGATCCAGGAGGTCACGGTTCGATTCCCTATGATCCAGGAGGTCACGGTTCGATTCCCTATGATCCAGGAGGTCACGGTTCGATTCCCTATGATCCAGGAGGTCACGGTTCGATTCCCTATGATCCAGGAGGTCACGGTTCGATTCCCTATGATCCAGGAGGTCACGGTTCGATTCCCTATGATCCAGGAGGTCACGGTTCGATTCCCTATGATCCAGGAGGTCACGGTTCGATTCCCTATGATCCAGGAGGTCACGGTTCGATTCCCTATGATCCAGGAGGTCACGGTTCGATTCCCTATGATCCAGGAGGTCACGGTTCGATTCCCTATGATCCAGGAGGTCACGGTTCGATTCCCTATGATCCAGGAGGTCACGGTTCGATTCCCTATGATCCAGGAGGTCACGGTTCGATTCCCTATGATCCAGGAGGTCACGGTTCGATTCCCTATGATCCAGGAGGTCACGGTTCGATTCCCTATGATCCAGGAGGTCACGGTTCGATTCCCTATGATCCAGGAGGTCACGGTTCGATTCCCTATGATCCAGGAGGTCACGGTTCGATTCCCTATGATCCAGGAGGTCACGGTTCGATTCCCTATGATCCAGGAGGTCACGGTTCGATTCCCTATGATCCAGGAGGTCACGGTTCGATTCCCTATGATCCAGGAGGTCACGGTTCGATTCCCTATGATCCAGGAGGTCATGGTTGGGTTCCCGGTCAGGGCACATGCCAAGGTTTCAGGCTCCATCCCCACCCAGTAGGAGAAGTGCAGGAGACAGCCGATCCATGACTCATCATGGATGTTTCTATTTCTCTCTCTTCCTCTCTCTGAAATCAGTAAAAACATATATATATATATATATATA